ATGAAAATAGGGGTAGGGGAAAAAAATCGTTTCGGCGAGCCGCTCGTTACGTAGACTGGAGCCTAAACCTTGATCTCTTTGCGATACATACATCCATACACACACCAAACACAGACAGTCGTGTACACGAATGCAAATTCTTCGTACATTGTTTTTTATCCTCGCGGTGGATCGTTTCGATTTTCAAGCAGAACGAAATTCTCGCAGACGAAACACGGTGTCTTCCAATCACGAAAATTTCTCCTCCTACGAAAAAGAAAAGAAAAGAAAAAAAAAACCCTACAGCTTTGCAACCTTAACAGTTCTCGCGGTGACGGCTGCCGTCATCGATCTACCAAAGTCGAAGTCTTTGATAAGTTCGTAATTAATAAAAAAGAACAGCGAAAAGTTCCCGGAGAGGAAAGAAAAAGAAAAAAAGATGAGAACGAAGAAAAACCATACGGTGAGACGGTTTATTCCGAATCCAAAGAAGAGACGTGCAAAATGCCGAGGCGCAAATTGTATCCTGTTTTTCTTTTACATTCCATGTAGCAGAGAGAGTAGAGGGAAAGAAAGGACGTAAGAAAGAGAGCAAGAGGGAGAGTGGAAGAACGAGAGAGAAAGGATGTGGATGTGAATCGGGGGAATGAGAGGAAGAGAGAAAGAGAAAGGAACCACGACGGAGAGGACGGCGGTGCGCGACTTTCCGCGTCTCGATAAAGAACTCGATCGCTCGCCTGTTTTTCTGATTCGCAAACAATCGAGTGTTGCGCTTCGCTTCGTTGCGTTGCTACACCATTATCCTACATACAGGCTATCTCTGAAATGGGTAATCGGAATTTGCGAGGGCCTTTTACTCGTCGTTTGGATGAAAAGGATCCGCGTGTTTTCCTTTCGACATCTCTTTTTATCCTCACGACAAGTAAAATGCACATTTAACCACCTGTTTTAGAGACAGTTCGCACATCAACGGAACGGACACGTTACGATCCATCGTGTCTAAGTAACAGCATTTTTTTTCACGATCGTGAGGTGCTGCGAAAAAAAGAAGAAAACGGTGCGTAGATATCGTTCGTTTCCGGTATGCTCGAAGTTATGATTGCGAATCGCGTTATCAGGTCCGCCGAGAGAGGTAAAAAGACTAACAGAAAGATCGCGAGAGACAGAAATCGGTGTCGCGGAATCGCTCACAGAGGAAGGGCAGAGATAGGAAACTAGGAAACGAAACGCCGGCCGTGCCGTGATGGAAGTAACGAGTAACGAGTTGTGAAAATGAGAAATACGAAAGAAAATTATATTATATACGCGACTGTGATTTTTTGGAGAGACTCTCGTGTGCGAGGGGTCGATGTTCTACCCTAAAAAGGAGCGTGGCTCTGCGTGGAGTTTACGTTCTCTGTCCTATACGATCGACGATCGTTCCATATGACTATCATTTTGTCTATCCGTTTTAAGAGACGAATGGGTCGCTGCTCCGCGTTCCGAGCTAGCTTAACGCGCACATGAAATACGTGTTTAATAAATGTAAGAAACGTCGAGATAGTTTCGTTTGGAAGAAAGGGTTTTCCTTTTTTTTTTTTTT